AACATTACAGTGGCAGCCTCCATGCCAAATCCATTGGTCATTTTGGGGCTAGTGTCCTCTTGCTTTTCTTTGTATTTAATACTATTGATCACCCCTTCAGTGAGTTAATAAGTACTTATTTTGTCACTGTTCTGAGCTCTGGGGATGCAAGGAAAAAAGCAAAAACAGTTCCTATCCTTAAAGAGCTTACATTCCTCTAATGGAATTGGGGGTAGACATATGTAAATAGTTACATATAAGATATCTATAGATTATGTTACCTTATAGGGGAAGGCACTAGCTGCTGGGACTTAAAGGCTTCTTACAGAAGGTGGCATTTGATCTGAGTCTTGAAGAAAATCCGACATTGTAAAAAGTAGATATGAGAGGGAGAGGCATAAGGGTCAGTCATTGAGAAGGCATGGAGATGGAAGGTAGAATGTTCTGTCTGAGGAACAGCAAGTCAAGAGCAATTTGGCTGGACTGTAGTTAGGGAGAAAATTAAAGTGTGAGAAGACTGGAAAGGTAGGAAGTGGCAGGCTGAAAAGGGCTTTAAAAGTCAAACAGCGGAGTTTATATATGGTCCTAGAGGTAATTGAGAACCACTGAAGATTGGGTAAGGTCAGAACTACACTATGGGAAAATTAGGTTGACAATTGTATGGAGAATGAATTAGAATAAAGAGACACTTTTGAGGTGGGGAGACCATTTAAGACAGTATTTTAAGAGGTGATGGGCCTCTGAACTAGGGTGATTTCTGTGTGGGTGGGGAGAAGGTTTCATGTATATCCAACATGTGGAGAAATAGATGGCAAAATTCGGCTTCCAATTGGACATATGGAGTAAGAGTGTTAAAAGATGACACTGGAGTTGTAAACCTGGGTGACTGAAAGGACAATGGTGCCTGGAACAGTAATGGGGAAATTGAGAAGGTGAGGGATGGTTTGGGAGTACAAGGGGAAGAAAATGAGATCTGTTTTGGACAGTTTGAAATGTTGAATGGACTATTGATAATGCAGGACTACAGCTCAAGAGACTCTTTGAGAGGTGGGCTGCATTTATAGACCTGGGAATTATTGGTGTAGAGATGATCATTGAACTTTTGGAGCTGATGAGGTCAACAAGTGAGAGAGTATAAAGAGAAAAGAGAAGAAGGCCCAGGACAGAACTTTGGGAGATACTCATGAAATGCAGTAAAGGAGACTAAGAAGGAGCAGACAGGTAGGAGGGAAAACCAGGGAGGATTGAGAGAGAAAGGAAGGAAACAAGCATTTTTTAAAGCTCTTACTGTGTGCCAGGCACTGTTTTAATGACTACAAATATCTCATTTGATCCTCACAACAACCCAAGCAAGTAGGTGCTATTATTATCTCCATTTTACGGTTGAGGAAACTGAGGTAGAGAGAGGTTAAGTGATTTGCTCAGGGTTACCCAGCTGCTAAGTGTCTGAGGCTAGATTTGATCTCAGGTCTTCCTGACTTCAGGCACAGCACTCTCTATCCACCATGCCACCTCTCTGCCTCAGTGAGAAGAGAGGGTATCCAGGAAGAGAGGGTGGTCAGATGCTACCAAGAGGTCAAGAGGGACAAGAATTGAGAAAAGACTGATAGAATTTGGAAGTTAAGATCATTGGTAGGTTTGGAGAATAGTTTAGTTGAATGATGAAGTCAGAAGCCAGATTGCCAAAGATTTAGAAGAGGATGAAAGGAAAGGAAGTAGAAGCACTGAGTTTAGCTGGTTGAGTAGAATACATGCTTGAAATCTTTCATCTCTTGGTTTTCATGACACTCTTGTTTTTATTTCCTCCCACCCTTCTATTTTACATCTGCCATTTTATATTCTTGGTTTCCTTCATGCATTAGCCTTTCAGCTCTCTCCTTTGGAGAGTTCATGTATTCTTTATCTCTTTGTCACTTGTTATGTCAGATTTATAGAGCCTGACCTCTTCACGTAGATATAGTCTTGTAATTTTAGCTGTTTATAACACATTTCTAATTGAATTTCCTGCCGTCACTCTCAACTTAGTATATCTAAAATTGAACTTAAAAACTTCTTTGTCTTCCAGACTGATTTCTTTTCGCATCTTCCTAATTTGTTTCAATGATAACTACCATTCTCCCAGTATTCCAGGCTCTCAGAAACCATTTCTTCACATTTCTGATTGGATTTCCTACCATCACCTTAAACTTAGTGTATATAAAACTGAACTTAAAAACCTCTTTATCTGGAGAGCAATTTGGAATTATACTCAAAGAGTTTAAAAACTTCCTATACTCTTTGACCCAGCAATACCACCATTAGGTCTGTTTCCCAAGATGATTAGGGAAAAAGGAAAAGAACCCATATGTTCTTTTTTTTTTAAATGAATTTATTTATTTTTAGTTTTCAACATTTACTTCCACGAGATTTTGAGTTCCAAATTTTCTCCCCATCTCGTCCCTCCTCCCACCCCAAGATGGCATGCATTCTGAATATCCCTAATCTGCCCTCCCTTCTATCTCTCCCCCCTCCTTTCTTATCCCCTTCTTCTTCAGTTTTCATGTAAGGCAGGATAGATTTCTATACCCCATTTCCTGTATTTCTTATTTCCCAGTTGCATGTGAAAACAATTTTTTTTAAACTTTTGTTTTTAAAATTTTGGGTTCCAAATTTTCTCCCTCACTCCCTCATTAAGAAGCAAGCAACTCGATACAGGTGATACATGTGTAGTCATGCAAAACACTTCCATAGTAGTCATGTTATGAAAAACTTAGTATATTTCCCTTCATCCTATCCTGCCCCCCATTTATTCTATTCTCTCTTTTGTCCCTATCCCTCCTTAGAACCCATATGTTCTAAAATATTTATGGCAGCTCTCTTTGTGGGGACAGAGAACTGGAAAATGCAGGAATGATCATCAGTTGGGGAATGGCTGAACAAGTTGTGGTATATGATTGTGATGGAATACTACTGTGCTATAAGAAGTGATGAGCTAGGTGATTTTAGAAAAACATGGAAAGACTTGCATGAAATAATGCAGGGCAAAATGGCAAGAACCAAGAGAATGTTGCATACGGTAACAGCAATATTGTTTTAACAACTTTGAGTAGCCAAGTCATTTTGACTATTATGAATACCCAAATTAACCAAAAAGGACCTATGAAGGAAGATGCTATCTATATCCGGAAAAAGAACTGATAAATAGAAGCATGTATAGTATGTATTTACATATATACATATACAAATTATGTGTGTGTGTGTGTGTGTGTATAGAGAGAGAGAGAGAGAGAGAGAGAGAGAGAGAGAGAGTCTGTCTATCCGTCTGTCTAGTGGTAGCCATCTTGGGGGGAGAACAAAAAAAGTTACGTAATAGCTTTATTCTATTTAGAAGGAAAAGCAAGTTGTACGTAATAAATTTGCAGTTTCATATACAATCCTCTTTTTTTCTATTCTACTTTGTTATGGAAATGCTTGGTTTAGTTCTTAAGTTCAGAATAACGAAAACATAAAAACCCCTTTGTCTTCCAAACTGGTTTCCTTTCTCATCTTTCTCATTTGTTTCAGTGATACTACCATTCTCTCAGTATTCCCAGACACCATTTCCCCTTTTGATCCAACAAATATTTATCAGATGCCTGTTCTGAGGTCTTTATCACTCAAATGTTTTTTAGATTTGTATCCTTTTTATTCCCACTGCTACCATCCTCATACAGGCTCTCCCTATCATGTCTGGGTTACCACTACTCATTGTTTTCTTGGCTCAAGTCTTTTCTTCTCCAACCCATCTGATATATTGTTGCCAGATTAGTCTTTTATCTTATCCTGCTCCTAAATTACTAAACTCCTTTCCCACTACCTCCCAGCATTAAACCTCTCCTCCTGCCAAGCTTTTCTGTACTGCCCTTATAAGTCATGCCTACTTTTTTGTCTATCCTTGTGCTTATGTAATTCCTGTCACCTTGAATACTCTTCTTACCTGCCAGGTTTTTTAAGGTACTGCTTGGTCCCCATCTTGATCATGAAAGCCTTTTCTGATTGCCTCACCCCACATTGATTTCTCCCCTCTCTGAGCTTTCATAGCAGCTGTTGGCTTGTAACAGTTATTTGTATAATGATATTTGTTTGTACTTGTTAGCTTTTATTTTTCACTAATTGTTTTGTGTGAAATATATCTTATCTTCCTAGCTAGATTGAAAACCATAGTTTATTGTTTGTGACCCCAAAGTGCTTGGTATAATGCTGTGTGTACAGAGGTGTCTGATCAATTCTTGTTAAGTTGACTCCACTTGGAATATTCCATTTTAGGAAAGGGTACTTAATTTTAATCAAGAATGTTTTTTTCTTATTGAAAATAAATGAAATAAAGTTAGACATTCTGCCAGGGTATTTATTTTCTTTATAGGTCTTTCTCTGCATAGTGCAAATGCTTAACAGAATATTCCTTTGGTTTAGTTTTTCTTCAAACTGTTTTTTGAGAAGCGTTCCACAGTATCAAATGACCAAACTGAAATATAATGCATTTACCAAAAAGCATCAGTAGAGGGAGCTAAATTTGCAAGAGGATAAGTGCAGAGAGTGTAAAGCATGAGAAGAAAAAAGAGCTTGTAAAAAATAAATGTCGATACATTCAGGTATCATTACATGGTGAAAAAAGACCACTTTCTGGTGTTCATAATATCATTATTTGGTGTTTTAGTTAGGGAAGTCTCCATAGGGATTTTAAAGAATGGTTTAATAAAACAAGTGATTTTTTTCGGAGGCATTAAGTACATGGCAAAGCCAATGACTTATTTTATACCAAGTTACATTAAGAAAATGAATCCTTAGCAATAATTTTTAAAAATATTTCTTCTTTCTCAAATTTGAATTAAGGATGAAGAGATTAGATCATTTAATTCTTCATGGAAATCAACTAGAATATTGGGTCCTAGAGATAATTAGGGGTTGGTAAACCCGATTTCTGACTTCAAGATTAGATTTTTTCCAGGTAAATTTTGTATAATTTGGTGATATTGATCTGTCTCTGTCTTTCTCCATTTCAGTTAGCAGACTTGAGGAGCGAGAATCAGAGTTGAAGAAAGAATACAATGCACTACATCAAAGACACACGGAGGTAAGTCTCTGGGCTTCTTTTATGTGATTATTTAAACAGACAAATTCACCCTAGTTTATATTAAAGCTCCTTTGAAACCTAGAATTGTTTTTTTTTGGGGAAAGTTGAATCTTATTGTATGTCCAGAAAGATACTTTAACTTGTAGCCAATTAGCAACAATAAAAGCTTCCTGATTTTAAAGAACAATGACATTTAATTCCTAAACTCTAGGAAGTCTTTGATAAAATGTTTATTAACTCTTTTATTAACTCTTCAGAGCTCCCTGATAGGGTCCATTCTCCTGTCCGTGAATCTTGCTTAATAATAGCTGGAATGTAGAAAGGATGCATAAATTTGACTTAAAGTATTTTTCTGGAAAGCCTCCCTTTCCTTAGACTTCATGGTAACGTGATACAGTTGTTCACTTTTTACTCTAGTGGTAATCTGTCCCTTTGGAGTCTCCTCTTCCTCCTTCCCTAGCTGTGGACATTCCTCTCAGGACTTAATCCCCAACTCTCTCCTCCACTTTTTGAGATAATTAATCTTCTCTCATATCTTCTACCAGCATTCTTAGCAGTTGACCCTCCAATCTGTATTTCTAACCTAGATTTGTCTCCTAATCTCCAATTATTTATGCTGATATTTCTGGCTGAATGTTGTGCTCTGTCTTCCAATTTAAGGTTGTTTAAACCTGTATCTCTGATCTTCCTGAAATTGGCAGTGTGACTTGACGTGCCTGTTTTTGTCAATGGTGCAAGCATTCATTCTTTCAGGCATCCAGGCTTGAAATCTATGTGGAATCTTTAAATCTTGTCTCTAATTTATCTGAAGCAGTTTTGTAATTAATAGAGAGTGGACCTTAGGGTCAGTAAGACCAGGGTTCAGGTCTTACCTCTGGCATTTACTGACTTTGCATCCTAAGGGTAGAATCATCTTATCTCTCAGTACTACTCTCACGAAGCTTTCTCAGATTCTAAGTTGCAGAACAGGTAGGGCCTTGGTATTGGGTATTTCCACATCGAAATTTTGCTGTATTAATTAAATCACAGTTACTGTGCCAAGCCAATGATATAATTGATTACTACTAATAAATATTTCTCCTACCCTTCTCTTCCTTACCATTTGCATTTCACCAACACAATGTAAGCTTTTAATCTTTGAATTTTTAAATTAATTTATTATTCCTCAAAATTCAGTAGTCCTATCTGGACAATAGTTCATTTCATGCCGTATAACCTAAATTCTCTCTCCTCTCTTCAAGGCTTTCAACATCCAGCTCAAGACCCACTGCTTTCATGTAACCAAAACTTTTTATCAGATATTTTGAACTTCAGCATCTCTCCCTTCTTGTTGGGACTCTTCTGCTTGGCAACTGATCATAATAGCTTGCTTTTCTGTTTATTATATGCACATTAGGCTTATTTCTTCAACTAAAATGAAAGTTACTTGAGGGACAGTATTTTGCCTTTCATGTCTTGTTTCCACCAAAGGACCTACCATCCAGTCTGGACTTAGAGCAAGCACTTAATAAATATTTGTAAGAAATTACTGATTCTTTCAGGAAATCTCAGGAGGTACCTTTCATTTAAAAGAATAGCTTTGACTTTCCTTCTTGCTTATCCCCTAAAACAGAAGTGAGAAACCTGCGGCTTTGAGGCCACATGTGGCCCTCTAGGTCCTCAAGTATGGCCCTTTGACTGAATCCAAGTGAATTTGGACTCAGAGGTCTGCACTTGAGGACCTAGAAGGCCACTTGTGGCCTCAAAGCCACAGGGTTCCCACCCCTGCCTTAAAACATCCTTTTGTGACTTTAATCCTTCTTCCCTAGCCTCTTCTGGGAGAACTAGGGGTGTGACCTTTTTTTTTTTCCTGTCACCGTCACTCACTTTGATTTTATCCATTTACTAATGCTTCTTCATCACTCCCAATTCCCCCTTCCCCTGCTCCTTGCATCTCCCACCCCCATCTCTTTTTGCCTGCTTTGGCAAGGTCTACCTGGCAATCTAAAGGTTTTAGGGTTGGTTGGTTTGTTTGTTTTAATGTGTTAATTAGTTGGCTGAACTACTTTTTTCCTTTTTCTTTCTTTCTTTTTTTTTTTTAAAGATGGTACAGGGGAGGGGATACTGGAAAATGAAGATACCAATATATTAGTTTTTAAAAATGAAAGGAGCCCTTAGTTTAAAAACTAGTTTGGCTGTTATCTTGTTGGTCCCCATTTTTGTAGATTTCTTTTCCCCCCCTTTCATTCTACAATTATTTACCAAATTCATACTGTGTACAAAGCACCCTGATTTAGATAGTCAGACCATTGTGTTTCATATAATAGCCTGCGCAGTGGAACCTCTTCAATGTCTTCATCAGAGCAAAAACTTCAGCAGTTCCAAAAACATGTATTAAGCACCTACACAGCATACTGTGGGGGTATTATTGGTCCTTCCTCTCCTATTATTTATGGCATAGGAGAACTAAAGGTACACAGACAGCTAACACACAATAATAGGTGATCAATGCAATAGAAAAGTTAAAAACAAAAGTTAAATGAGGCCTGGGGGAAAGGTGATTACAAAAAGTTTAGAGATTTAGGAAGGAAACATCAAGTAAGGCTTTTGTGGAGGGGGTTGTATTTGAACTGGGTTTTAATGGATGGGTAGGAACTTGGCAGGCAGGGGGAAGAGAGAGCAATCCAGACGTAGGAAATACTGAGAACAAAGGCACAAAGACAGGAAAGGAGAGGGTGTGTTTGCAGTCTAGTTTACAAGGTATGTAATAAAGTACATCATGGGGGGGGGGGAGTAATATGAAATCTCTGCAAAACCGTGATGGTGCCAGATATTAGAGGGCTTTGCATGCCAGGCAACAATTAAGAAAAAAAAAAGGGAGCTACTTATATTTTAGCAATATGATTGATTAGGTATATGACCATGATTCCTTTAAATAGCAAGCCAGTATATACATGTAAAATGATTTGATAGAAATAAGAAAGTTCAGAAGAAAAGTGGGTTTTCTTGAAAAGATAAGTCTGTTATGAAAATGTTGAATTTGAAATACCTATGAGACATTCTGGTTGAAATAGTCAATAAGGACTTCAGATCACATGACCAATAAGATGGGAGGACTAGACTTTTTTTCTAGTCCTCACTAACTCTCAAAAACTCTCCCCAAAGAAGAGTTATGCCTCAGAGGAAAATCAATTACAGCTCTTTCTACAGGCCAAGAGAACAAAGAGGCCTAAAGGTAACAGAGAATGCTAATCTCCAGCACCTCCCACTTCCCACTAGTCCCAGTTCTCCACATCTACTGTCCTGTTCTCTAGGATCCAACATTTTCTTTGCTGCTACTACAGACTCAGTTTATCCTGCCCTCACCCCCACTATTCTGTGACAATGCAGCAGACTTCCACTCTTGCCCACCTGCTTGTGGAAGAGGAAGAGCTATAGGAAGGAGCAGGCCTTAACTTTTCCAATGGTGATAGCTTTTAGCCAGAGAATTAAGGAGCAAAGGAAAATGGACTACAGTGTTAGCATGTAAATATGTGGGGCTGTACCAGATCTGAAGGAAAAAAGCCCACTCCTTTCCCTCCAGAAGTCTCTTCAGGCAGGTACTGAGGGCAGTGAAAAGTAAATTCTCCAGAGTGGGAGGACGCTGAGACATCATTGAGATACAGTCACTAGGAGACCTGCCTTCCATGTAGGAGTCAGAAATTGAGTGATAGGGGAATATAAGGGGAGAAAAAAATCAAACAAAAACTAAAACCATCAGAGATCTTGGGAGGAAGAAAACTGAGTTGGAAAAACCTAAAACACAAGCAGAGAGACTTCTGGGTCATGTGAGCAGCAAGGTAGAGGACTAGATATTTTCTCTGATCCTCATGACCTCTTAGATCTCTCCAAAACAGAAATTATATGCTTTCAAAGATTAAAGCAACTTCAACTGTCTCTGTAGTGTAGGATACCCAGAATCCTAAAAAATGTAAAAAAAAATTCCCCCCCCCAAAAAACCTCAGTCAACCAACCAACCAAACAACTCACCTAAGAACTGACAGTCATTGACCTTGAGTTTACTTGGTATCCCTCCCCCACCTCCCGTACTGCCGGCAGTGAGACACAGACCCAAGGACATGACACAGGCTTACAAACCACTCCCAAGAACCTGTTCCCTCCTCCCTGCTTTCCAGAGTCATGGAGACCTTGGCTCTAGGCTCTGCAAATTTGCCCTGGCCATGACAGACAGTGTGGTTGTAGCCATTCAGGAGCAAAAGCCTGCCAGGGGCCACAGCCCCATACAGTCATGTAGAACCAGTGCTGTAAAGATATGAAAAGCGGGTACCAGGGCAGATAACCCTATAATACCAGTAGAGCCAGTGCCAGGGTAGCACCAGTGCTACAAAGTTCTGAACTGCTCATACCAGGTCAAGGAACTGAGAAACAGAGGAAGTAGGACAGGATAAGACACCACATGGTGTGTATAAGGAGCACACTTTACTAAACCCTGTGGAAAAAGCACAACATCCCACTAGGGTCGGTTCTGACCACCCAGAAGTTTGGGGTAGAGACCCAGGCTAGTTGAACCATGAATTGCCCAGTGTGGAAGGAAGTTAAGATACTTTGAGGTGTAGCTCTTAAGGAAACCACACTCAGAAGGGAGGGAATCAGAAAGTGAGCAACAGGAGAAAATGGAACAGGCTGGGGGGAGGGCACTGCAATTTTCAAAGATTTCAGGAAGAAAACTCAAAAGTCCTTGAACATAAGCAGATAAGTAAATAGGGAAAACAGTAACAACAGCAGAAAACATAGCTTAAAGATGTAGTGAGTCATTTATGAATAAATTATTACAAAACAAAAGAAAATGATTCGTCTCTTAATGAGATGGAGAACTTTGTGAAATGTGAGGAGAACAACATGGAACCACAGCACATTGTTCCTGAGTAGTTCAAAAGAGAAATGAGAATTAAGAGAGCAGCATTTGTGACCTGCACAGTAAAAAATAGTGGGCAGCAGCCCTGGAGGCAGCTGGTATCCGG